TAGGGAAAGGCCCTGACAGTGTAGAGAACAACAAGGGGAAATGGTGTGCAAGGCTCAACAGAAATAAATAGCAGGATGACTCTCGGTGGAAAAGTGAACCCGGGGTGCCAACCAGTTATCAATGGCAAAAACATGGGTGAAAGGATAAAATAACTGAATGATAATGTCATAGGAGTTTTGAAGACTCCTTCAATGTAGTTCTGAGCTGAAGAACTCTAGTCTGTGGGAAATCTTCATGTGAAGGACAGAATGTCAAACAGATGCAGAGTACTTCTGACTGAAAAGAAACCCCTAGACTTCGTAGATGACCAAATCGAGGCCCAGAGAGTAGGTGATATGCTGGGGTCACAGAAATGCAAATAACGGTGGCTAACACTTTTGTGTTTAATGAGTTGTGTGCCAGGCTGTTTATCTGTTTAAAATGTAGACTTAATCCCCACCACAGCCCCGTGAGGAAGGCATAATCATTTCATAAAATTTACAGATGAGAAACTAAAACTCAGAGAGGTTAAATGAATTTCTCAAGCCAAATAAAAGAACGAATTTCAGACCTAGGCAATTTGGCCTCAAAGATCAGGTGATTAGCCACAATGTTATCTGCCTAACCAAAGGCAAACTGAGTCAGATCAAGAAACCAGGTCCCTGACCTCCAGATCCATGACCCTATATGCTGCTTCACCCTCCGCGCCCTGCTATGTCTGCTCCCATGGAGTACAATGACAATAGGATTTAGAGGGAAGTCTGAAAAGTTTATAAATCCCAGAAATCTGCAGGAGCGGAATGCTCCCTTACTGAAGTCGTGCCTTTGTGCCAAGAATGTTGTTTGTAGTTTGTTTGCTTATAGTTTTATTCAAGTAGCCTTTGTCTAGAACACACTCCCTATAGGGGCCAAGGTGCCTCTGAGCAGAGGAAGCAGAATACGACTGTTTCATGTTCACTTTAAGGACGTCCAGTGCCTTCCATGGCCCCAGTTAACAAGAGGAGAAAGCCCTTAGCAAAGGATGCTCCTTGGCTCCCTCTCTTGGGAGCTATTGCAGTGCTCCCGGAAGACACGGCATGCTGACCGAGGTTCATAATGACTCCTTGGTGCAATGTTCCTCTAACACCCAAATGTGATCTTCATCAATCCTCCCCCACCTTCCTCCAGTACGACCCCTCATGGCAGTAAATACCACTGGAGACCACAGGTCCCCACCTTGGTTCTGCTCTGAAAAGGAGCAGGGTGATAGAGTGGCCAACCATCCTGGTTCTCCTGGCCCATCTGAGTTTCAGCCCTGACAGTATCCCAGGAAAGCCCACAACCCCAGGCAAATCAGAGTGGCTGGTCCCCTTAGGTCAAGCCTCAGATGGTTCTACAACTTAGAGCAGCAGTTCTCCATGGCCTCGATGTGACGTATCAAACAACTGCCTGTTTTTCTCTAGTAACTGCAATCCTGACAAAAATAGGGTTTGGTGATTAAAGCCAAATTTATGACCCACAGGCCACAGAGGAACTCACTGCCTGAACTTTCTTCCTGTCCCAGGGCATCTTGGGAAGAAAGGAAGGAAAGGCTTAGTCACACCCTGGGAGTGGCGGCCAAAGGCAGGACTGCTCCTCGGCATAAAGAGCTCAAAGCCTCTTTCTTCAGGGAAAGGGGTGCTCCCCAGGCCTCACTCCCGTTGCACAAAGCCAGAATGGAAAATAATGAACTGAGGAGGGAGGAGAGGCAATCAGAAAGTACAGCCATCTCCCATCTCTGGAAGAGCAGCCCCACAACCCAGCATGTACCCAAATCTCAGTTGGACCAACCACCTCTGCCAAGCCATGGAGCAGCACCCAGCAGGAAACTCACCTAGACCCCAGGACAGACTTCGCTCCCCGGGGATGCAGAAGCAGCCACCCATGTGTGCACCATCCTCCCGGGGCTGAGGCCCCTGGGAACACCGGCCAGAAGAGCTCTGGGAGGGGACACCTCCCAGCGGTGTTCCTCCTCCCGCCTCCTCCCTGGCACACGAGGGACCAAGGCCTGCTCAACACACAATGCAGCCTTTGATATCCGGGCTGCAGGAGGAGGCCAAGGGAGGAAGGGAGGGGCAGCCCAGCCTGCAGGCCTCCTAGCCCTGCACTGTCAGGCCTCTGCCTGGGGAGCAGCACTCCTCCCTGCCTCTCTGCCTCTCTGCAGATTGCTTCATGCCTATCAGGCTGTGGCACATTCCGCGCATTCTAGGATTGAAATACACAGTCTGGTTTTGTGGGGGTGGCCAAGGCAAGGGAGGAGCACAGAGAGCATCTCAGGAACCAAAGCTGCTCCTCTCCCTCTCTGACTGACTGACTGTATTCATCTCCTGCTGCCTCTAAAAAGTGATCCCTACCCAGTCTCTTTCTGCAAAGCCTCCCTGGTTACCCACTGAAGCTGGAGCTGTGGGTGTGGCATCTCTCTCAACCTTAACAGCATCAATAAGCCAATTCCTCACTGGTTTACAAAATCTTGGTGGGAAGAAATTCCAGAAATCACCTGTTATAATTGCCCAGCATTTTTTTTTTTTGGAGAGGTTTTTGCTAAAGGGCACGTGCGCTCGCCAGAAAGACAGAGAGACACAGAGAGACAGAAAGTGAGAAATCACCCCCCAGGGGGGATGGCCACACTGCAATCCCTTCTCCTCCATTCTCCCCTCGGGATCTTAGGCACACATGCTTACACGCCCAGCATGAGTGTAAGCCACCGGGTCCGGGACTTGAACTGTGGTCAACTACATCAGAGTCCAGCGACATAGCCATTTCGTCAACTACTGGTCACAAATTGCCCAGCATTTTACAGGTAAGAGGTTAGCGAACCAAAAGTTAAAGCTACAGATATGCATGAAAAACTGGTCTCACCAGATTTACCTCTTTTCTGTTTCAGATACAGTGAAGTAGGGGAATGCAGTTGACACAGTATGGTTGAATCTCGGAAAACCTCCCATGAGATCTTACAAAGGAGATGGAGAAAGTATGGCTGAATGCTGAGGTCGGACAGAAGCATGACTGACCTAGCAACCAAGTTCAAGGATCAATGATTACCTAATGCTTCCTTCATGCCTAGAGCAAAGGTCGTGGTGAGTGGTCCAAGATGAGAAGTATGTAGGCCTAGAGGAGGCAGGGTCTTCATGGGCCCAGGTTGCAGGCTACTTGGAGGCTGAACTTGAAAACTGATTCACAAGCATTTTAAGGAGAGCAGTGGCCTGGTCAAGTTTAAAATCTGGGAGGAGCCCTAGGTTGATAATGCGAGGAGGCCCAGGGATCAGTCTCACCGGAGTGATCAGGAGTATACACTACACACATGCCAGCTCAGCCCCAGGGAACAAAGAGTCAAGCTTTTTCTGAAGTCCAACTTCAGGTTCAGTGCTCACACTTCTTGAGTGGCAATTGCTGAACATTTACTACAAGCGAAGCACTCATTACACATCACTTTATTGAAGTCCCACAACAGCTCCACAATGTAGACATTATCGTTTCTATTGTGGAACTGAAGAAATGGATGAAGAGGGTTATATAGTTGTCCAAGTTCTCCTGTTTATGAAGGTGAGATTCAGGACTGGAGCCAGGTCTAGGTGATCCCGCAGCCCAGATAAATGGGCTCCCTCCGTGGCTACGAGGACACACAACAAGAAAGGACTAGTGATCTAATCCTGAGGCCTCTGAAGGCAGCTGACCACTTTGAAAGGCCCAGGAAAGGAGGACTGCTGTAGGAGCAGGGGGGACAGGGGGACAGGGTCTCTCGGATCACCTTGCCCCCATCTCAGGAAAGGAGGGCTGGAGGAGGAGCAGGGGAGACAAGGTTTCTCTGGTCAGCTTGCTCCCATGGGGGATGTTTTCTCTGTGTACATCTATTTAAAGTATCCACTTCCCAGAACGTGTTGTATGCCCTCCCCCTCACCAAAGCACAGTGTTTTGAGTATGAATTAGCATGTTTTCTTGGGCCTAAGATGAAAGGGTAAGTGTTCCTTTAGAAATCAGCCAGTAAAGCCTCAAGTACTTGGGTGGGGGGGCGGGGGTGGTACTCGAGGCTCAGACAGTGAAGAGAAGCCCTGGTCTAACTTGCACACACCCACAGATGCCACGTCTTATTTCTCTTTGACTTGTCTGTGTACCATGCCCACACAGGTATAGCAACAATCGGAAATGATAAATGACCAAAACCAACTACTGGAAAAAACCCAGATGATCTGTTATAGATGACAGTTGATGGAGATACACGTATTTGCAAGTCTGAAATGAAGAGTCCATCTGGATGGAAGTATTGCTTTCCTTGAGATACAAGTAGCTAGTGCTGTTCTGCTCATGGTAGCTCAGACTAATTTATCAAAGCAAACAGATTTCCAGGCAGAGAGAACAGGAGCAAAGGCCCTGAGGCAGGAACTTGCTTTGGTGTTACAGGAAGAAAATATGTAGCTGGAGTCTAGTAAGGAAGGGGAGGGTATAGGTCAGAGAAAGCAGAAGGCCACACTGTGTAAGGCCATCTAAGGACTTCAGCTTTTCCTCTGGATGAAGGGTGAAGGCTGAGGGGATGGCTCTGTGGCCTGGTGGTTAAGACAGAGCCCACGTAGCTGACTGCAGTTCAAATCCTGGACCCTGTGGCTTGAAAACATACTAAGCACATATGCATGCATGCCCAAAATCCTGAAAGAAGGGAGAAATAAAGGAGAAAGGATGGTGATGCGACTACACTCCAATGAGGGGTATTTTCTCCTTCTCCCTCTCACTCTCTGTCTCTCTGTCTCTCTCTCTCTGGCAAACATACGTTCCCTATGGCAATTAAAAGAAAAACAAGGAGAAGTAGGTCTGCAGACAGAGAAGCTTGGCTGAGTGGGCAGGACATGTTGAGTTGGGAAGTTTATTCCCCATCTACCTGAAGGTGCAGACTAGGTAAAATATACAACTCTAGCTTTCAAGGTTAAGGTTTCTCCTGGAGGCTTGGGGACCCTCAGTACATAGAGATATACTGGCAATGTGAGAAGGAAATTAGCAAGTACCAATGGGGGAAACAAGAAAGTATCAGGGAGGAGGTGACATGTGATGAGGAGCCTGGAAGGATGAAATTTTGACAGGCAGAAAAAGGTAGGAAGAGAGTCCAGATTGAGGAAAAATCATTAGCAAAGGTGTGAGGATTGGCATTGGGGGCTAGTTTAGGGAAGAATCTTTCAGTTACACACTTGAGCTATAGAACTGATTTTGAAAGAAGGTAATGGTAGAAATGTGACCAGAGTAGTAAGCCTCTTAACATCCATTCATGCATACATTACCCACTTGTTCACTGCATGTCACTGGTTATCTGAAAAGCTTGTTTGTTGTGGATACTACTAATAATAAGTGCTCGAAGAGCCCTTGTAATATGCTCATGTGAAGACTCCACAGTTAATCTTCAGTCCACCTATTTAAAAGTAGGAAACAAAGAGTCTAAGTGACTTTTCCTGGCTCCTCAGCTGACAGGGTATAGAAGAGTCAGGAGTCAAGCCCAAGCATTATGACCCCAGGGCCTTCATCCTTACCATTCTGCTTTAATGCTGTCAGAAGGACTGAACCTGGTGTCTGGGAGTGTAGCATAGCAACCATCGGAAGTGCAGATCACTAAGCCATGAACAGCAAACTGTTTTCCAGACGTCCCCCTGCAGGGAGGTGAGATGCACCCTCTCCAAGGGTCAACTGAGGAACCAGTAGCAACAGCTCCAGGAAAAGAAGGGGGGGGTGCTGCTGACCAGGGCAAAGGTCACCAAGCTGCTGGCTCTGACCTCCCCCAGGAATGCTGCCTGCTCTTTCCAAAACATCCCATCTCTTGGCTCCCACAGCAAACCTGGGGTCAAGGGCAGGCAACTGAAGCCTTCCAGGGTCAGCATTGAAAGTCCTCAAGTAGTAAAGCATCTCCTCCCCACTCCTCATTCTTCTCCAGACCCACTTTAAAAATAAACACACAGAGGCTCATAGAGACTAAGTCATTTCTTCAACACTATAGGCAATTCTATAACAAAGACTATGCTAGAACTCAAGTCTCAAGACTCTCAATTCAACATGCTTCCACAAAACTTGCTAATACTAATCAGTGTTTTAAAGAAGGTTCTTCAGTGAGCAGACAGGGATATGATCACGTGTGTGTGTGTGTGTGTGTGTGTGTGTGTGTGTGCTTGCCAAGTTTATGACAGAAAACCAGGTCTGACACTCATTACCACGCCAAGGGAAAGAAATTTCTCAATTCACCTTCTCTTCCAGGGAAGTTCAAGTTTCAGGATCTGACCCAGTAAATGATGTAGGAAGGAGTCCTTCCCTCCAGCCAGTCCTCCCTCGGTGTTTTTCCTGGAGAAACACTTGTACTTAGGCACCAAGAGGTCTGGAAAGGAGGTAGACAACGGTATCCCTAGAAATAGTGAGAAATAGAGGGAGATTTGCTTTATTATTATTTTTTTAGTTTAGTTTAGTTTTTGCTATAGGGTGTGTGTACTTGTTGGAGAGAAAGAGAGAGTGGGAAATCACTCCCTGGGGGGTGGCCATGCCACAACCCCTTCTTCTCCATTCTCCTCTCAGGATTTTGAGCACACACGCACATATGCCCAGTGTGTTTCTCAAGCCATCAGATCTGGGACTCAAACTGCACAGTCGGTCATGTCAGATCCGGCCGCCTTAAACGCCATGCCACCTGCTGGCCCCACAAAGGGAGTTTTAATGCTCGTCAAAATGAGGGTGATTATTGGGCGGTTTTTAAAAATGAAGTAGGTTTCCATAGAGTCAAATAAAGATCCCAAAGGTAAAAATAGAGAAATTTGCATTACAATGCATACAGTTTGATTCCATTTATATTTGTTTGTTTGTTTATTTTTAGAGAGATTTTTGCTATACAGCTCATGCACTCAACCAGAGAGACAGAGACAGAAAGTGTAAAATCACAGCCCCAGGGGGAATGACCATGCCACAATCCCTTCTCCTCCATTCTACCATTCTCCTCTCAGGATTTTGGGCATGCACACACATGCACCTAGCATGAGTTTCAAGCTACTGGGTCTGGAGCTCAAATCGTGGTCAAACTACGTGGGATTCCAGCGACATAACCATTACACCATCTGCTGGCCCTCCCTTTACTT